TCATAGCACTAGTAAAAATACATTTTCCCGCCAAATTAAATCAGGTAAACCAGAGCCATCTAGTGTACAGAAATTTCATTAAAAAATATAAAAAATGAGCACAGCATTTCCCCCATTTTTTGTTCATTTTTACCCGGCGCGAATGGGTTAAGTATAACATGTTCAAAATTGGATTAGCTAGATGGAGTAGATAACTGACATTCAAGCCAGAGTTCAATACCATTCATGTAAATTACTTATTCAAAAGTGGACTCTGCAGAATCCTGTGTAATACATGTAATATATCCAAGAGATATAACAATTTCAAGGAGATGCAAATTTACTAATCTATGCAAGTAATAATAAGTAAAGTTTTGAAGTTAATTTCTTGTGTTTATAAGCATCCACATGTCTTTTTTATGATGGTGTAACCATCTATAAGGGTATACAGGAATGGGACACTAACAAAGCAAATAAGCAATACATGTAAAATCTGAAAGTATTGATCTTGATAAAGCAAACGAAAAGTCCATTCCATAGTAAAACTGTGATTCTCTTCTCTAGTAGTTATACATAAAGAATTTTGATTGATTTCATATTAACTTCTAAATAAAATTTTTAATTCATCTTAAATTAATTAATTGTATATATATGAATTTTCTGCTTCTCTCTAATCCTGACAGAGGTTTTAAAACTCTAAAACTCTAAATATTTATAAATATATATATATATATATATATATATATATATATATATATATATATATATATATATATATGTATATATATGTATATATATATATATATATGTATATATATGTATATATATGTATATATATGTATATATATGTATATATATGTATATATATGTATATATATGTATAAATGTGTATATATGTGTATATATGTGTATATGTGTATATATGTGTATATATGTGTATATATATATGTAAATATATATGTAAATATATATATATATATATATATATATATATTATATATATATATATCTTATATGATGAAATTTATATGGTAAGAGATAGATATGTAGATATAGTATATCTATCTTCTATATATATTATCTATATGACTATCTGTATTTATACTGTATCTATAATGTAATAAAATATAGATATTATATATATATATATCTATTATATTATTATGTACATATATGTTATATATGTATAATACTGTATATATATGTTATATAGTAGTAATATATGTATCTATATGTATATCTAAGTATATCTATCTATATCATAAGTCTATATACTGTATATATCCGTTCTATAAGTATATATTGTATATTGATATTTGTATATACTATAATATATCTATATATCTCTAATATATTCTTCGCTACTCTCATCTATTGTATGCTCTATGTTACGATATGTCATCGATAAGGTATATCTATATGTCTATGCTCTTGTCGATCTACGTACATATATATATGTATCTATCTGTCTATAGCTATATATATCTAGATATCTCTATATATCGCTCAGATGTATATATCTCTCTGTACTCAACTCTTTCTACTATATGTAATTTTCTGTCTATTTTATATGTATCTCTCACTCTCTCATTCTCTACATATCTACTATCTATTATATAGATATTATCATGTATAATTTTTGCTATATGTCTATATTTACTATATTAGGCTCTAGTCTCTCCTGTTATATATACTCTCTATATCTCTTTATGTATCTCTCTCTCTTAACTATATTCTGTGTATCTGGTATATGTCATAATGTCTCTTCATTGTATCTGTCTATGTATATTGTATATGTTCTCTGTCTTGTCCTTCTATGTATATTCTATGTCTCTCTCTATGTATTGTATCTGTACTATGTATCTCTCTAATATATATATCTCTATCTATATATAATACTCTATCTCTATCTATTCTTTCTGTCTCTATCTATATATATTATATATATATATATTATATCCTTCTCTGGTATACTTAATATACTATATCTATACTTCATAATCTCTATATCTACTCTATATATATATATTATATCTATCTCTACCTATATTATCTATATATATGTATCGTCTCTGTATATGGTATATATATATGTATATGTAATATGTCTAACTGGTATATGTCTATGTATATGTATCTGTATATAGCATCTCTTCAATATTTCTATATCTATATATCACTATCTATCTATATCTATCTTTATATCTATATCTATCTCCTTCTATAGCATTATATATAATATATAATATATCTATATATTATATATATAGTGTATATCTATGTCATAATACTATATATATATATATATATACTCTCTCTATATACTCTCATATATCTATATATGTATACTATTATATATCTCTCTCTCATCTCTCTCTAATTTCTTTATCTCTCTTCTCTCTGTTTATATATATACATTATCTAGATATATCTATATATCTATATCATCTTACTACTATTTGCTATTCCTATCTATATCTCATCTTATCGTACTCTACCTCTCGTATCTCGTATGTGTATCGATGTCTACCTTTCATCTATCTCTGTCTCCACTTTATATATATACTCATGTATATGTATAAGCTTATATAATATATCGATCTATATATATATATCCTATCTATACTATAGATATATATCTATGTCTATATATATATATTTATATATTTAGCTATCTATATATCTATATGTATATATATCTATATCATATATATATAATATCTCTGTATATTATATATATCTAGATATATAGATAGATATATCTCTTACTATCTAACTATCTCGCTATATACTATGTATACTATAACTATATATCTCATCCTCTCTCTATATCTGTTATCTCATATATATATATCTATATATATCTCTATTCTCTCTCTAATATCTATCTATTTCTATCTCTATACTACTTGTATATCTTTCCTCCTATCTGTATGTCGCATCTTTCTCTCTCATCTCCTGTCTCCGGTTTTCTATCCCTTCCCCCTCTATATGTGTCTATCTCTATATAGCTATCTCTCATCTCTCCATCTACGCGATCTGTACTATCATTTTCTATCCTCTCTCTCTCTGTTTGCTCTATATCTCTCTCTCTCTGTGTCTCTCTCTCCTCTTCTCTGTGTCTCTCTCTCTCTCTCTGTTTTTCTCTCTACTCTCTATTCTCTATCTGGTGTCTCTCATCTCTATCTAGCTATCTACCTCTTCTCTCTATCTCTCATCTATGTTGTATCTCGAATTTATATACTCTATATACATCTATGTGTCTCCTCACATCTATCTCTCTACATATCTATAATAATATACACTATTAGATTAAGTATAATACTCTGGTATATGTGCTCTCATCTGCTATCTACTATATATATCTATGTATATGTATCTACCTATATATATCGATCTTCCTCTACTATATATCTGTTATCTCTATCATCTCTCCATATCTGTCCATCTGTCTCATCTCATAAAAAAATATCATCTATATATAGATCTATTCTATCTGTCTATATATCTATAATATCTCTCTTATCATCTATATCTGAATATCATCTCTCTGTCTCTATACCTCTGGTAGTATCTATATGTATATATATACATCTTATACTTTTGCTCTATATATCTAATCGAGTATATATATATATAATCTATATATATGTCTATCTCTATCATGATATCTTATATTATATATATATATCTCTCTCGTCTCATATATCTTCTATGTCTCTGTATCATTAGATGTACGCGGTGTCGCTTCTCTTCTATGTATCTATGATATATATATATATATATATATATCTCTTCTCTATATCTATATTATATACTTTATATATGTCTATCTGTATAACTATCTATCTCTCTCTCTATCTCTATATTGTCTATATGATATATATGTATATCTGTAAATCATGTATATATGTCTCTCTATGTACTCGTATATGTCTCTATATTCATCCCTCTCATATATATGTCGTGCTCTCTATTACATCATCTGTCATCTGTCCTCATCTGTCTATATGTACATATTATCCTATCTGTATGCTCTGTATACTCTGTATATATGTATAGATGTAAATTCTGTCTACTCTTGTCGATATATGTCTATATGTATATCTGTCTATCTGTGGTATATCTAGTATATTGTGTATCCTCTATATATACTCTCTCTCTCTCTCTATCTCTCTCTCTGTGTCTCTCTCTCTCTACTCTCTCTCTCTATCATACTCTCTCCTCTCTCTGTGTGTCTTCTCTCTATGACTCTGTGTCTCTACTCCCTCTCTGTTGTCAATCTCTATCTATTCTCTCTCTCTCTCTCTATCTCTCTCTCTTCTCGAATCGCTCCTATATGGGTACATCTCATCTTTTTTCTCTCTTATATCTCGTTCTTCTCGCTCT